TATATATTTTAAATATTATATCTGGTCCTTAATATAAGACCTCATTTGACTTTTATTTTGGTTTTAAATATAAGACCTAATCTACTTTGTGTCTTATATTTATTTATTTTTTTCTAGATAGTCATTCTAATAATGGTAGTTCTAACCAATAACTTGATTAGCAATGATATTTAGGAAAGACAATAACTATTTATTACAAATAACTAACTTAACTTATTTTTTTAATTTACTCAAATTAGTCAACTAGCTTTTATATTTAGGACCGGAGGTGCTACTTTGCTACAAATAATTTAAAAACATGCATATGTATCAGCAGCTTATGTACACTTTGGAGGGGGGTGTCGTGGGGAAGCGAGGGCTAATGAATAACAAGAATGCAAAGTTAGGGAGATTCTGATGATCATGACATTATACTAAATCACTTATACTGCCTCTGGTCCTAAATATATAAGTTTGTTTAACTTTTATTTTAATCCTAAATATAAGATATCAATCTATTTATTTAGAAAAAATGACAAATAAAAACTCTCAATATGTGAAATTGCGATTTAGGACCCTCAATTTGAAAAATGGCAAATAAAGACCTGCTCCCATATTGCAAATATAAAATTTTAGTGAAATGTCTAAAATGCCCCTCAGTCAAATGACAAGTTTATTTTAGCGAATAATAACTTCAGTAGACTAAATCATAACTTGGCTTAGGGACATTTCAGATATTTCACCAAGATTTCATATTTGGAATATGGGACCAGGTCTTTATTTTCTATTTTTCAAATTGAGAGTCCCAAATCGCAATTTCACATATTGGGGTTTTTATTTGCCATTTTTCCTTTTATCTATCATATTTATCTATTTTTTAAAGCTAATTTTTATAATAATAGTAGTTATAATCAATAAACTTATTAGTAAAGATATTTTAGAAAAGACAACGCCTATTTATTACAAATAACTAAGTTAATTAATTTTTTTAATCTATTCAAATTAGTGAATTAGCTCTTATATTAAGAAAAAAAGATAGTATTATATATACATATATGCTTTTATACTTGTGGAATGAACCAGTTTGTTTCAATTTCGATCGGATTATTGTTTCGCTTCTGTGGTCTCTAATATGCCACCCCGTTATTCTTTCTTCCCTCTTGTCGTTCACTTCTCTCACTTTTTTCTCTTTTCTCATGTTCTAATTACCATTCAATGAATCTTATTCAGTGAAAACGAAAACGGCACTGATTTTTTCTTTTGAGAATAGTACATCTGACTTCATTTTGGGTATTCACAATTATTTGGTATTTCATATTATATATTGACTCATCTAGATTATTATTAGATTATTAGAGCATCCACGGATTCTAAATCGGACCTTGAGAGTTATTTATTTATTTCTTGAACAGTGTGCGTTTTTAAATTTCAATCTCCAGACCATTATTTTTCCTCCTCTTACTTGAATATGATTTTTTTTTTTTAGCCAACAAGTTAAATATATGTTTATCTTCTATAAATTCATGAAATCAAGTGTAACTGAAGGCAAAATGTAGAGTGTAGAAGAACCTTGAAATATATACACCTACAAAGAAAATTTTTTAAACAATATAATTAAGACGTTTTAAGTAGGTTTTTTCTCACAAAACAAAAAAAACCCAGTGATTACCAGAACTTGACGATGATGGGGAGGTAGCTGTAGAGAGCTATTGAGTTTCGTAATTAAATTTGATTCATCAGTCTGCTTGCAGTTATTTTAATGTCGTAGCTAGCCATCCCATTAATTAATTATATTCGATTTGTTTATTCTCAGAAAGTACCAACCACACACCTACCTATTCCATTCTCTCACGTATTTTCAGAAGATCAAGAATATCAGTGTCAAATTAAACTGCAATGATTGGTTTTGATTCAGTAACGATAATTACTAACATAATTAGGATAATTGTTTTTTTATTAATTTTATTATTAAACCCCCAGTCAACTGCAATCTCATTGGTTATCATTCGGATAATACATACAAACAGGATCATTTATCAGCTTTTTTCAGTGTTTATTTATCCAGGCATGGATCATATACTAGATTACTGGTATTTTAATGGACTGCTTCTTCTTTGTTTGTTTCAAACTTTGTGTTGGGTTTTATAAACGATCCACACTTGATGGATTTGGGTAGTTTAAAGCCCAAAAGAAAAGGGCAGGAAAAAAAAACAAACCTCTTCTCTGCCTTTTATTCATTGGTTCATTTATTGGGCAGCGTAAGTTTTTTTTTTTTTTTGCCGGAATAGGGGGGCCATATAAGTTGAATCCTAGTTATTTCAACACCTCATGTGCTTTTTCAATATAATATACTACTCCATGTACTTAATATAAAAATAAAAACTCATTTAATTTTTATTTTAATCATAAATATAAGATTTTAATTTATTTTATTTATCATATTTATCTACTTTTTTTCTAAGATAGTTCCTGTAGTAATGGTAAGTCTAGCCAATACACTTGATTGATAAGTATATCTTTGGAAATACAACACTTATTTACTACAAATAACTAATTTAACTAATTTTTTTAATTTATTCAAATTAGTTAATTAGTTTTTACTTTATATTAAGGATCGAGGGTAGTACTCCCTCCGTTTCTTATTATAAAAGACATTTGATACTTATGGCATGTTCCCATATATAAGAGACAATTAAAAGTTGTTTCTATTTTTTTGTATTGATTTCTTATTTTACCCCTATTTATTTTGTCTCCAACTCATACTCTCTCTCCCTCCCACTTTTTTTTCTTTTAATAATTTAATTGTTCTTTCTCATACTCTCTCTCTTCATTAATATGGGCATTGTTTAAAAAACATTATACTTTTTACACATTAATTGTCCTCAACTAATTTTAACTATTTTTTTAATCAACGTAATTTGGTTATTTGTCCCTTATAATAAGGAACAGAGGGAGTATTTAGTAAGAAAAATAAAATAAAAAACCCACGAATTTCTCAGCTAAAAAAAACAAGAAGAAAAGGCACGAATTCTCCCGAATCCAGTTTACATCACATTTATTATACATTATTGATTATTGATATACTTTCCTATTTATAAGGCAGATGAAATTTTTTTTCTTAATCTTATTTATAAATCACATGTATAAATGTATTATTATGTCTTTTATTTATTATGATATAAGTTGTTATTTTTTTTGACAGTGTATATATTAAATAGGAATAAAACTCAAAAGTTATTATATTTTAAGTGAAATTAATGTAGTTTAAGAATTTTTTTGAATTATATAAAATATGCTGAAAATGTTTCATAAATAAGATTAGAGGAAAATCATCATTTCAAAAATTGGGGGGGGGGAGCTGAATTCTTGAGAACGTTATTTCATTTGTAAAATTGTAGTCCTCTAATTCTTAATATAAGACCTAATCATTGAGTTAATCTTGGTTCTAAATATAAGACCCATTTACTATATTTATCAATTTTCTCTAAATTATCCCTATGGATACTCTTTCAACTATAATCTAGTAGAAGAAGAAGATAGGCATTAAGAAAGATGATTATGGTATTTTAGGAAAAACGTATCACATTTCTTATAATTAATTAACTTACCTAATTTCCTTAATCTAATTAAATTAGTTAAATAGGTTTTATATTAAAGATTAGAAGAGTATAATGTTTTTGATAATTCATTGACGCAGTAAAACCTATGTTTTACCAACTGGTTTTGACGATCAAATCAAACATGGTCATTATTTTAGTCAAGACTAAAAATTTTAAACAAAATCTACGCTTTAATTAAAAATGATAAAAAGTACTCCTCCGGTTCTTAATATAAGACCCAATTAGAAGGTTGATCTTGGTCCTAAATATAGGACCCCTTTCTCATATTTTTTCATTCTTTCCTAAATTACCCCTATTAGATAATTAAATACCACAATAATACTCATTATTCATTAATAATACACCTATATATTTTATAAAGTGAATGAATACTTATTACTCATTAATTCCACACATACATCAATTCTACCATTTCATATTTTTAATAAAATAATTTAAACATTTAAAAAAATATTTTCATACAAATACCCATTCAAGGTAATTGGATTTTTTTACCTCCTAGGAATAACATAATAATAATCATACTATCTATTTTCTTTGTGCCCAGAAAATATAATCTTCTATTTATATTTTAGCCAATCAAACAGAAAAAGTTCCTGCCCGAAGAAAAAAAATTAATTCTTTTTTCTTATAAACAGGAAAATTAAAAACAAATAAAGAAACAGAAACAAAACATTGAATTAAGTTACACCCTCTCGCTAACAAAAAAAAATTAATTTAATGAGTGAGACCGACAACTCGGACGGTGTGTGAGCCAGGAGAACTTGGACGATGTTGGTACCGGAGGAGGCGAGTTAACCAGACTTGAATTTTTTTCAAATGTCAGTTTCTTTTTAGAAGTGTAAACTGAGGGTATTTTGGGATATTTGTATTTATTATCTAACTTAACTAACATCCTTAATTTAATCAAAATAGTCAAAAGGGTCCTATATTAAGGACCGGAGGAGTACTAATAAAGCCTGGCACAGTTGGTAGATAGCTGGGTCCTTTAAACATGATGTCTTGGGTTCAAACTAAGCCGTGTGCACAGAAAAAACTTTGCTGGAGATGCAAAACCCACTTCAGTGATCTCTATCCCTTGAAAGGATTAATCTTTAACTATCAGTCAGGGGATACCACCTGGTTTCTATATAAAAAAAAAATACAACGTACTGATAATCTAAACTTCAGAACCATTACTTCACCAATTATTCTCTCTTGCTTTTAACCCCGTTCTCGATTCCAAATTTACCGCACAGGAAAAATTGATCTGAGTGAGAATACGAGGGAGGGGCAGAAAAGGTAATTCAGGATTTGGCGCCGCCTTGTCGGAGATCCCAATGATTTTTGCCTTTTTAACATTAAATATTACATAGGGCCAAACGCTGTCCTCTCGGTGTAAAAGAAAAACTCGCGCGTCGAGTGGGAAAGGGAAAAACCCTAAATCTTTTCAGTCACACTGTTGAACCCAAGCTTCCAGCTGCTTGCTCTTTCCGTTCACTCTGCGTCCGTCTGTGAGGGGGCTTTATAGCCCTCTCTCGATGTACCCGTTTTCTTCCTGATCCATCTACAGTTTTGCTCTTCTCCGGTGTCATGCAGGTAATGTTCTTTTGGAGCCCTAATTTATTTATATGCAGGCGCGCCATTTTCTGTTATTTGGTGTGAGGTGCTTGATTGTTTAGGTTGCCGAGCTAAGTGGCTCACGAGTTGGATTGGAATTTGGGGTCATTTTGGTATTTCTCGGATTTGGTTTGTGAAACTCACGATTTTTGAAAATGCTTTGATCTGCTTTACTTGTGTAATCCCCTGGTTCGAAGGGATTAGGAAGCGGACTTTTCTTTTCCGCTTCTTAATCGATAGCCATGCGATTTCCCCCTTTTTGCACGGGTGGTTTAGTGGATCGGATATATATGTTTCTGGGATTCCGAACCTGTGATTTTATCGTAGTTTATTCACGCAGGAAGTTCAGTTTGGTTTTTTTTCCTTCCTCTGATACAATTTTTCGCTAGCTGCAGTAATACTGACCTATGGATAATTTTTTTCTGTAGAGTTTCCACCTACCCCCTGTCAGTTTGATCAATTTCTGGAGTTGGGCAATTTAATTGAGCTGTGATCCCTTAAAATAGCTTTGCTTGCTGGCTGTTATTTGCTGTAATTGATTGAAGTCCTTTGGCGTTTGACAATTTAGAAATATAGGCTGTGCCCCGTAGCATCTTTGTTTAGTCCATCACTATGATTGCGACAGAAACTATAGTTCCAAGTACAAAGTTGAAGATAAAGTTCTCCACCAAAAGGATAGAAGTTAATCCCGGGACAAAATGTGAGCTTGACCAGAAAGTGGACCGTACTGATGACGCTGGGCTCTATAATTTAAAGGAAAGGTCCTCTGTACCGGGTTCCAACAAGCGAGGACCACCTGGGAGTTATGAGGGCCAAAAGGAGAAGAGGCAGAAGATGGAACGGAAAGCTTCTCTACAGTGTGCTACTATTCTGAAGAGTCTAACATCTCATCCATATAGCTGGGTTTTTAGTAAGCCAGTGGATCCTGTAGCTTTGAACATTCCAGATTATTTTTCAGTTATATCCGAACCCATGGATTTAGGCACAATTAAAAGCAAGTTGGAGAAAAATTTGTATGCTGGCGCTGAGGAGTTTGCAGCTGATGTTAGACTCACCTTTTCAAATGCAATGAGATATAATCCTCCTGGTAATGATGTTCATCTGATGGCAAAGGAACTCAATAGGTCCTTTGAGAGAAGATGGAAAGACTTGGATAAAAAATGGAAGTGTGGTGATGGCGATGGAAAATGTATGGCTGGAACAACTATGGAAAACGTGAGAAAAAGTGGTACTGTGGTGCCTCCTGTGCAAAAAGATATCTTGCCAAGAAAGTCTCAGCAGTTATCTGAACAGAAAGGCATGCAGAGGAGTAATTCGTTGACTGCAAGAGATGATAAAGTAATTGCTGCTTTCTTGAAGCTTGAAATACTGAACATGCAAGATTTCAAGGCATTTTGTATGAATGGATTGAATAAAATATGTGGTTTCTGCAGAGTTCCCTGTGGTCAATTTGTTGTGGCATGCATCTTTTATTTGCTATATGTTTGTTGAGAGGTATTTTTCTAAATAACTCTAATTGCTTTTCTTGTAGGTGGTGGTTTCTAAATCATCACATATTCCCTGCAAATTGATACTGAAAAACATACACAAAGGTAAGGCATAAAACCAAAGAGTGAAGTGCAATCGTATGGTTCTGCATGCGACCTAAGAGCTTTGTGTTTTATAGGAAGCAAAGATAACAGTAATGAGGAACGTCCTTCTGTCTCTGCGAAGCCTTGTCCTTCATTGAGTCATGTCACACACAAGGCTAACATTTCTGGGGACACTGCAAGCCATGGTGTCGTTTCTGGTGATTCAACACGCGTGTCATCAGGTAATTGACAATCTTTTGTCAGCTTCTCTTTGATTATGCCGTTTTGTCCCTTGTGGGCTTTTATATTTTAACATTGGTTTACTTAAATCTGAAGGATCTGAAGGAGGGAATATGAGTGGCGCTGAAGCTTTGGAACGGGTATTGATAATGAAATTGTTGTATAACATGAGTAGGCTGCAGCTTTTGGAACTCTAACTCTACATTTGAATCTAAAAATGTTTGTATCAAATTCCAGAATTGCCCCGCTAAAGGTACACCGTCGCAGGGGAAGTTGGATCCTGACTTTGATGGTGAGACGATTTTATAATTTATGATATGTCATCTTCTAGGTGTTCCTATCTTATTAAATATGCATGGTGTTGACATTATGCAAAGGGGCTGTAAGTGCTGTGGATAGTGAACGTCTGTCCCCTAGCTCTCCTCTTACAGATCCTGCTATGGATGCTTCCTCTGTAGAAGGTCAGCTTTTCTTAGATGTTTTGATGAATTGTTGCTTTTGCGTTGTAGAATGGTACTTAGTGGTACTTGTTTTTGCTTCTTCTATTCCAGTATCGAGCAATCCCATCATGGATGCGCAAATGTCACCCAAGAAGGCCCTTCGAGCTGCAATTCTGAAGCGCCGTTTTGCAGATACCATCCTGAAAGCACAGCAAAAGACTCTTCTGGATCATGTAAGGCTTCTGTCGATGGTATTTAAAAATCTTTTCATGCCTTAAATGTAGGGAGGCTTTGAATTTGCTCTGTTATCTTAATGCGTTTTCCATATTTGTTTAGGGAGACAAAGCTGATCATGTGAAATTGCAGCAGCAAAAGGAGAGATTGGAAAGAATACAAAGTGAAGGTGAATAAAACACAATATATTTGTGTGTTTTGTATTTTGTAACATTTTTTTTTTTAAATTTCTGTTCGTCGGGGATTTAACGAGTACTAGTTGGGTGACTCTTGTTATACTTGTAACCTCATACTAGGGTATTTGAAGTGGCTAATGATTGGGTTGTTGCTGGTCACACTTGTTGGTGGGTTAATAAGTCACTTGGGTTCGTAATTTATCATTTTGAGATAAAAATGCAACCTAGGACGTCCATTCAAGTTCAACCTACCGTTTTAATCTAGCCTAATATGCATAGTGTGTTTTCAAAGTGACGTTAGCTGTAGTCTTTTCCCTTGCACGTAACTGTTGGATGCCAAATGCTTATTTTTTGGTCCTAATTTGACTGGGATTGGTTGTCCTCATTGGGCTTGAAAGATTCGTTGGAGTGTCACTTCTTGCTTGATTGATGCGAATCGTTATGTCATTCACAAAATGCTGCACTTTAAATAACAGAAAGAGCCAGAATTGAAGCCCAAATCAAAGCTGCTGAATCTGCTGCAAAGATGAGGGCTGAGGAACAATTGAAGCAACAAAGGGAGAAAGAAAGGGAAGCCGCACGAATGGCAATTCAAAAGGTTCTGTTCTCATACATTTTTGTAGCAAAATTTTTCAATAATTCATCTTGAAACGAAGAGGCTCACTCTGATGTCCTATTCAGGTGGAAAGAACTGTTGATATAGAACATAACTTGGAGATTCTGAAAGAGCTTGAAATTCTCAGCGGGTGTACCTTGCATGGCTCCGCAGTTGCAACGGAGAAACCAGAACAATCTCAGCTTGGTTACTCATTGGAGCGTCTTGGCTTGTTTATAAAGGATGAGTTTAAAGCAGAAGATGATGATGAGGTTCTGATTGGAAATTGGGAAGAAGGGCAAATTTTGTTTTGATACACCTTGTACTGTTCTTCCTGCTCTCTTTGTTAATACCTTTTTGACGGGGGAAACATATTTGTAAATGCAAAGTTCTCTGCCTCAACTGAAACTTCAGTGGGAGAGATTATAAAAGGGAAAAAAAGAAGCAATAGTCTATATTTTATCGTGGAATGATTCATTAATGATATGCCTGTTATGTTAGCATTAGCACTTTAATCCTTCTGAAAATTGAGATTTTCTGTTGTTTAACCTGGAATTTTGTTGCTGATCATGGATTAAGATGCGTTTGGTACAGCTTGAGCAGGCCAAAAAACAGAGAAATTGCCGTAAGCGGATTTTGAAAGGACAAGAAACGGAGGCAAACACGTGCAAGTTGTATTTATTCAGATAAAATGGTGACTGTTGGTGTCTCCAGAATTCTTCCATAGCACCCCTTCCCAGCTTCCCTATTAGTCGGTACTACCGCTACACATTAGAACTAAAATTGCAGTATCTCAAAGTCCTTGCTCTTTATACAGCGAGGTCCTGGAGGATATCTTCATGTACTGAACCAATACTATCTTCCTTTGCCCAACAAGCCCGTTTTGCCAGCAGTGGCCCCAAAAAAAAAAGGGCTATCTAGAGTTTACCCGGGTGCCAAATTGTAGTGTTCCCTACAAAGCTCACCGATTATAGACGGAAACCACTGTATTAATGAAGGAATGCCTTCTAGATGCAATAAATCTCAGGAAGCAGAACCCAGAGTAGCTTTCAAGACAAAAGAGAACTAAAGAAAACCAGCTCAAGTATGTTGGAGGCATATCCAAACCTTGCCAAGAGAATTGGTGTAGGGTTCATATGAAATATTTATTTTTAGCAGCTCTGTCGTGCTTCTTAGCATCCTCCTGGAGAATTAGCAACCAATAAATTGAAAACTAACCCGGTTAGGCCCTGGCTTCTGATAAAATGCCGAACAAGCATAAACAGTCTTACATGGAAGATGAAGCCAATTTGGTCATTGTAATCAAGAAATTCTTTCCACTGTTTTCCAATGCTTATCTGCAATAAGAAGACATTCATGAACTGGCATAAGAATCGGCAAATTATACTCAACAAATGCAGACCCGCAGACCTGGAAAAAGGAATATCGTGGCAGTTTTTATTCAGCTATAGCATATACTATGTTACCCCCCCCCCCATGGGGCATTACACATATCACAAGCTAGTCAGCTGTGGAATATTATATACAGAATATTCCAGAGGCATGGTAAAAGTTATCATTTATAACTTCAGGATAACACAAACCTCCCACGTACAAGGAAAAGAAGTGCCATCTACTCCTAAATTTATCATGTGACCCAGCTACTTGCTAAACCCGTCATCTATTGGCTATCAGGCTTCACCTCTTGAGGCTCAGACACAATTTCACAATATTTTCCCCAACTGCCTAAACTTTCACAATAAAAACCAAATATCTATCTAAATACTTTTTCTAAGCAATTAAAGAAGAAAACGTCATACAGCCGGAAACCAACGCTATTTAGTTAGCCACTTCTCTTAAACCACCTTACTTAAAATAAGGCACTTCAACCAGTCATAGGATAGAAAGTTTCAAGCATACTGCAGTGAGTTTTGGGAGTCAAGTGGAAGAAACGGACGGTACCAAGGAGAAAATTGGGGGACATCGAGATCAAACTTTGTGATGCAGCTTAAAGCTCAGGATGGCCCAACGTTTTGTGATTATTAGTAATTACAAATATGAGCAACCGATGAGAACTCTTTAAAAAAAAAAAAAAAAGAAAAAGAAAACTGCTCAAATGATCTTAAATCCTTGAAATTTGAATTGCACATTATCATAAGAATTGAACAATTGTAACTGATTCGGTAAATTTTGCTTTTTCCTCTGAAAAAACAATATAACAATGACAATACAGTTTGCACCTGAGCTGCTTCATTTGAAGCGTTTCTAGTCCAGATAGCAATTTTTTCCTGCCTATTTCTGACATTTACAACAGCGCCACAAATTTCCTCTCCATGGTCAAACTGTTCTCCAATCATTGCCAGCAACTAGATGTGACAAAACACAAAACACAAAATATTAGTTTATCAGAGCTTCTTGTGGACTAAGGGCCCTTAATGTTAATCGTAAAATGATAGAGATTCTTATCACAAAAAAAAAAAATGATAGAGATTCCAGAGCATACCGTATATAACCAACATGTATCAGATTTTCCCCTAGAAAAAGTAACAGTCCATTTTCCACCATTAGCACAAACAGGGTCCTCCCACTTTGGCTCAATTTTGTATTTAAAACAGTGGAAGTCTGCTCCCACGGCCAACTTGCTTGGATGATGTATGTTGTTGTATACACTGAACGAAGATATATTGAACGAAATTATCAGTCAATGAAAGCAAATAAATATTTTCCTTGGATTTGAACATGCTACAGTGAATTTCTAGCAACAACCAAGTAACAAGAGTAATGAAGATCATAATTGATGGCGAAACATGTAGTTGAGGCTGGGAATCATGGCCTAAGGATAGTAAAGATCATGCCCGATCTGATGATTCATGAGCTACCATAAAAACATTTTTAATCAATTTTTATTCTATGTGCATCATATTCTAAGCGGATAGGATGCCAGAATGTGGACCTTGAAATGGACCTTATATGTACGAAAAGGAAAAAGAGCAGGGACGTATCATATAAGATTCAAGACACCACAATGTCGACACAGTAGGACAAAGGGAACGCCAGAACAGAGGGAAAAGAAGAATCACACCATCCCCTCTTCCTTTAATACATACGTACTGACGAGAATCCTGACAAGAAGTTCAAACTGGATCCTCTACAGAGAGAGAATAAACCATCGAACAGAAAATAAAATGATATGCAAGGTTCAATACTTCTTCTTTTTATATAGATGTCCAATTTCCTCTCTCGTTACTTATGCATTATATGTTATCAATTCATGATTAGAGAGTATGGGAATGCTCAAATTCATACAACAAATGAGAGAGATGGAAGACAATTTAATCCATATTTTTAAGTATAGAATGTTTAAGAAGAAGATAGGGGGCGAATAATGAAAAGAAAACTGATGTAGAAACTCAAATCTAAGAATTACGCTATAATCCTCGGTATATCTTCCAATCTGTTTTATCAGCATCCATTCAAAGAATAAAATTGAAGAATGAAAACCAGAAACCCCAAAACTCCTCCACAGTTGCAAAGGTATAAACGGGCCGGATAGAGCTTCCCCAGGCGGCTTGCTTGGACTTGGCAGAGGGATTATCGAACCAGAAGGTCCAAGAATGCTCAAGCGGATGAGGCTGTCGGACCATCGCCGTCGGTAGCTTGGAAGACGCGGAGCCATCATCTCGAACGATCTCTCCTTGCTCCTCCCCATTCTGATCGCCGTCATTGATTTGATTGCCGGTAACGGTAGGCTTTGGGGGTTCATCCACCGCCATTTTCTCTCGCTTTCTTAGCACAAACTGAAATGCCCTCGCAGTTTAGTTTCGCTCTTCCCCCGCTTTCTCTCGTAAGACCAACGAGTAGCGAGTACTTTTCGCATCTGTCACAGTTAGTTCACAGGGGAAAAAGGGTTGTGGGCTTTTGGGTTTTTAATATGGCCTCATGGTTTTTTGATTCTTGTTTTTTGCCTAATATCACTGGGATTTAAATTTAAAATGTCATCTTGGATTTAATGCAATATAGGAAGTTTTATTTGAGGTTTTATTGTCATATTGGATTGTTCTTAAATTGTAATTTTAAAGCTTCTTTTTGGATTTCACCTGATTTTTTTTTTTGGGTCCAAGATTTCACCTGATCATTCTGGATTGATTCTTTATTTCTATTTTTTTTGTTAAACTTTCGATCTTAATTTTATTTTGCATAGAATCATTGATTTTAGATTATGATAAATTCTTCCTCTTTCTTGTTTATGAGGCGGAAATAATGATCATTTCTTCGTAAGTGGTAGTCTTAATTAAAAATATCATATTCTTGAACTTGTCAGTTAAATGAAATAAAAATTTCTACTTAAATTACAATAAATTAAGCAATAATAAATCATCAATATCATTCAATCGATACGCTGTGTAAAAATAAAATAATTAATTTCTTTTTCTTTACTGTTGAATCGTTATCTATAGATAGAAAATCGTTTGATTACTGTCCTTTCTAAAAAATTTGGATATGCCCATTGCTCTAAGCTAATCAAATCGAAATCAATTCAAGGCATGAAATTAGTCAAGTGAAATTTGATAAACAATTTATTAAGTGGTCAAATTAAAATTAATTTGTTTAATATATGAAGTTATATGATCATTATTCACAAGTTATTTCATTGGCTTGGTTGAATAGAAGCTTAAGAGTAAGTATTGGGGGGGGGGGGGGGGGGGGTGCGCGGATCAAGAAGAACTTCGACAAAACGCTCCCTCACTTTCTTCTCTCGTCCCTTTTCTTTATGTTTATTGTTTAATTTGACATATTTAATATTTGAGTTTGAGTTTTATTGTGATGATTTAGACCATGTGTGACCAACACATGTGGATTGTTTGAAATTTGATCCCAAACTGGGACAAATTACGGCGGTTAATGCTATGGATAACTGAAATTAACCGCGAGGTTACCCATAACCACGGGGCTAGAATGTGACAACTGCTGATCAACTTTTTCCCCCCCTCTTTTTCTCCAGTGCTTATATTTATTCAATTCTTTGTTCAATGCTATTATATTGGATTGGCCAAATCTGAGAAGAGTAAATTTGAGCCTCTTGGATGAATTTGGAAAAGGAAATCTAAATAGATTTTGAATTCTATAACTTAACATCCAACTTAGCTTATTGTTTCATTGTTTATCCTTAGGATATAATGTGTCGGCGTTTTATTTTAATTGATGGCACGTTAATCTCGTTATTTTTTGGCCAAAAATCTCATTAATTGATATGATGAATAAATCTAGTTATATACTCCTCCGGTCCTTAATATAAGACCCAATTCTTGAGTTGGTTTTGGTCCTAAATATAAGACCCATTTCTCATATTTATTAATTTTCTCTAAAGTAACCCTATGGAACTCCCTCAACCATAATTAAGTAGAAGAGGAGGAGATGGGTATTAAAACAAAGATGATTATGGATTTTAGGAAGAAGTGTCACTTTTCTTATAATTAACTAACTTACTAACTTCCTTATCTAATCAAATAGTTAAATGGGGTCTTATATTAAGGACGGAGGAGTAGAGTACTTTAATTTACTGATGTTTGAGAGCCGTAGTTAGTTATCTTTTGCATTCAGTGGGACGACTCATCAACATTATATATCAAAACTAAAGTAATGAAGAATAAAATCAACGGTTTAGTTAAGAGATTAAGGTGAATCGAACAATGATAAAGTGAAATATATTACTTCATGTCTGTATTTATTTTTCACTCTTTCAGTGTTTCATTTTGAGTACAGTGTTTTACTTTTGAGTAGTAGTGATAACTGATAAGTACTGTTACTCAGAGGGTGTTTGGGTATAAAATATAACCCATAACTTTAAAAGTGCTTTATGATATACGAAGTAATAAATATGGAGGATTTTGTCTTATTTTGCGGAAAAGTGCTTCTGAGAGAAGAACATTTTTGGGTGCTTCCAAACACTCCATTTACTCTTTACCAAAAGCTATTAAATCATCTTATCTAATGATTAAATCATTTATTAAATTACCTCTACCATTAAATTAATCAGACCATTCTGTATAGTTGCGCCGGAGATTTCTCCCCAATATTCATTTTTTTTATCCCTTTTTATCATATTATGTGTTATGGTGTGCAAATTTCTTATATATTTATTATAATTTTATTTAATCCACATGCATTGTTTATATTTGCAACAGGAGTTTTTAAGCGATATAATTTATGAAGAGAGGATATGCAGTTCAGAGCCAGCAAATTTAATGGTCAATTGTAATTTCTTGGAACTCAAGAAAGTCATCATCATGTGGGCGAAAATATGCTTTTCTTTATGAGTTCTCGTTTAGATTCTTATCGATCCGGGCCATGGAAATATCTTGTTAGTATCTTATCAGTAATTAATGCACGATCCCTATATATAACATTCACTGATTAAGGAATTAAATACTTTCTAAAATCAAAGTAATCTTTATCTCTGCTCTTTCCTAATCTCTGAGGTGAATCTCAACGCTAAACCCTACCCTCGTCGTACTGAGTACCTTTCCATCCACAAAACATTCAACTATGATTATCAAGAAACATCGCGCCGGAGTTGAACCATGTTTCCGGCAGGCCAAGAGGCCGGCGATATTCAAGCCTTCTCATGATCATCAACGTCCAAATCTGAAGATGGTCGTCGGAGCAACCTACTACCCAAAGCCCAACCCTGACAAGCCCCAAGGCGAAGACTCCTACTTCGTCTGCACCCACCGGAATGCTGTCGGCGTGGCTGACGGCGTCGGTGGATGGTCCAGGAAAGGCATCGACGCCGGCCAATACTCCCGTGAGCTCATGCAAAACGCATTGTTCTCCGCAGTCCGCCAACCAAAAGGATCCATTAACCCTAGAACCGTACTGGACGAGGCCTTCGACAACACAAAAAGCCAGGGCTCCTCCACCGCCTGCATCGCCACCCTGAAAAAAAACCCTATGAAGAAATACTACTTCTTGCATGCTGTGAACGTCGGAGATAGTGGGTTCATGCTCTTCAGAAAGAACAAGTTAGTGTTCCGATCGCCGACGCAGCAGCACGAGTTCAACAGGCCATATCAGCTTGGGAATGGTAAGAACAGCGACACGCCGGAGAAAGCCGAGGAATTTGCCCTGAAAGTGGAGTCCGGAGATATAGTGGTGTTTGGGACAGATGGAGTATTTGATAATGTTTATCCCAGAGAGATTGAGAGGTATATACAGTTGAGCTGTGAGGATGACGACGATAAGGTGACGCCTGAAGAACTGGCTTGGCTTATAGCAGAAGTTGCTCAGTGCAATTCCAGGAACAAACTAGGAGAAACCCCTTTTTCAGAAGCGTCTCGCAAGGCTGGGAAAAAATTTGCAGGTGGAAAGATCGATGATATCACTGTTCTTGTGGCCTACATAGTCCCAGCTTGTTGATTTAGAGATTACTCACTCAGCTACTTTTGCAGTACTGATCAATATATATGTGTAAATATGTTCTCGTGGTAATTTAGTACCGTTGAATTATTCAATTCGATGTAAACGATATATGCATTTTAACATGCGTCACGTACATAATGTCATAACTTGGCTTGTAAACTCTCAATACGTATGTAATGTCGTACGTTTCTGGGTTCACACACACACACACATATAGTGAAGTGTACTTCATAGTATAGTACTCCTCCGGTCCTTAATATAGGACCCAATTCTTGAGTTGGTTTTGGTCTTAAATATAAGACCCATTTCTCAATTATCAATTTCTCTAAATTACCCCTATAGATACTCCCTCAACCATAATCAAATAGAAGAGGGAGATGGGGTATTAAAAAAGATGATTATGGGTGTTTAGGAAAAATGTGTTACTTTTCTTATAATTAACTAATTTACCTAACTTCCTTGATCTAATCAAATTAGTTAAATGGGTCTTATATTAAGGACCGGAGGAGTATAATGAATTAATGTTCTACAACGGGGGGTGGGTTTAGCAGAAAGACTAGTCCCTCACAACGTGACGAATCAAGGTTCAAATCCCCACTGTGAGAGATGTCTACATTTAATATCCGACGGTGTCTTGAATATGATTACCTTCAATGGGAGGATACCTATACTTTAGCCAAAAAAAAAAGAATTAATGATCTGTTCTTAATGTTGTTTCTGGGTTCACACGTCAAGGGTACTTCATATTAATTATGAATCTTTTCTTGATGTAGCAGCTGGATTATTCACAGGCTGTGATTGTATGTATTGGTTCGTATGTGCTTCGATTTTCTTGTAACGGCTAAATATTCTCCTAAGTTCGGTGAGACTGGAGGGCGGTGGAATATCGTAGAAGTACATTAAACAAGTACTTTTACAAAAATCAACACAAAACTCTTTTTACGTATTTACTTCATATATCATAAAATTACTTTTAAAATTATGTTTGATTTTCACCCAAAAACTCTTTAAAAACAATCTTTTAGAATAGTCTGATATGATAAATTAAAATTTATGTATTACTATCTTTCATTCTTTCCTGAATTATGATGTATGGTTAATTACATAATCTAAGTCGGAAAGTATCTCTATAAATTATCTAGATTATTTGATTTAATTTTCGGAGCAATTGTCCGCAATCCAAATGTATATAGTTATACATTTTTTTTGTTAATATATCATATATTAGGAAATTATCTAAATCCGATGTGTTGATAGATTTAAAGAAAAACAGTTTTTTTTTTTATGAGATATTTTAATTTTCTCATTCTATAAAATACTACTTCGATCGGAATCATGGAACCAAGCTACCAATTCCACAAAATTGCCACAACTTCAGTGA